TTCTAAATCACACACATCAGTAGATATAATTCTTTTGGGGTCTTTGATATTTTCTTCAGGGCTATAAGTGGACCGGTCCTAAAAATCAAAAAAGCCTTGGGAAATGCTGTATTAGAGAATGCTTCTCATGGCCGGCGCCGCGGCTCACTTGGCTAATCCTCCACCTGCGGCACCGGCACGCCGGGTTCTAGTCCTAGTTGGGGCACTGGTTCTGTCCCAGTTGCTCCTCTTCCAGTCCAGCTCTCTGCTGTGGCCCGGGAAGGCAATGGAGGATGGCCCAAGTGCTTGTGCCCTGCACCCGCATGGGAGACCAGGAGGAAGCACCTGGCTCCTGGCTTCAGATAGGTACAGCGTGCTGGCCGTGGTGGCCATTTTGGGGGTGAACCAACGGAAGGAAGACCTTTCTCTCTGTCTCTCTGTCTAACTCTGCCTGTCAAAAAAAAAAAAAAAAAAAGAGAGAGAGAGAAAATGCTTCTCACATAATTGAAAGCATCGGAGAAACAGTGCCTGAGGATTGGCGGTGGGTGTTACACCTCTGTTCACCTGGAGAACCCACACTACATGATGACTTTAGGATGACTGCACGGCCTGGAATGGCTCTGCCCACGCACATATGGTACAAAGCACCCGAAGCAGGGAGACCACGGGGGTAAGATGTGACCTATGGAGAAGCCGGCCAGATGTTTTATAAAGGGTACATATGCCGGAGTGTTGTAAGAGGGGGAAGATCCCAAGACGGGCGGGGGGGGGGGGTCCTTCCATCTGCTGGTTCACTCCCCAGATGACTGCAATGGCCAGAGCTGAGCTGATCTGAGGCCAGGAGCCAGGAGCTTCTTCCAGGTCTCCCACAAGGGTGCAGAGGCCCAAGCACTTGGGCCACCTTCCACTGCTTTCCCAGTCACATTAGCAGGGATCTGGATTGGAAGCAGAAGAGCCAGGACGTGAACTGGTGCCCATATGAGATGCTGGTGCCACAAGTGGTGACTTCACCTCCTACGCCACAGCGCTGGCCCCTCAAATCAAGGTTTTAAAAAGTAACCCTTTTAATTAATAGCAGTGAACCTAATGTATCCGAATGTCCATCCTTAGTTGGTGTCTTATTAATGGGAAGCAAGGCCTGACTACATCCTCATGGGAGCTTTGCTGGGGACAAAAGGACAAACGAAGGGATGGGCCTTTGGCACAGTGGTCAACTCACAGCTTGGGATGCCCACAGCTCATATGAAGTTCCTGGTTCGAGTCCTGGCTACTCTGATTCCATCCAGTTTCCTGCTAACGCCTCCTGGGAAGGCAGATGATGGCTCAAGTCATTGGGATCCCTGCCACTCACACGGGAGATGCAGACTGAGTTCTGGGCTTCTGACTTGGGCCTGGCCAGCCCTTGTTGTGGGCATTTTGAGAGTGAGCCAGTGGATGAAGATCTCTGCCTGTCCCCCTGCTTTTCAAATAAAATGAAAATAAACAAATAATTAAAAAAAAATAAGTCACAAACCCCTTCTAACTATTTTCAGTACTCCTTTGTTGATAGCTAGTACTGTTACTCTAAACTGGATACAAGGGTACCTCCAAAAGTTCCTGGACACATGGCATTAGGCTGCAAAAAAAAGTTTTGAAATGTGTATTCAGAAAATTTCAGATTCTGGAGCCTTTTGGATTCTGGACTAGCACCGGGACTTCAGTCTGGGATTGCTGGGTGTGGACGAAGCCAGGGGCTGTGGGTGAGCAGCACGGAGCCCCCAGGTGACAGGCCACTGGGTTTGTTGTGCCTTCTCTGTCTACTTCTCATGTGCCTGCAATTTTGCATGGTGGAAGTGGAAGGAGACACTACTCATGAGACTCTGCCCTCCAACTCTCCAGGGTGAGCTGAGAACATTCTAGAAAGGTGTCACAGTGTAGGGAAGGGGAGGGAGGGCAGGAAAGTGGAGGAAGAGCCCATGGCGGCATCAGTGACTGCTGCCCTACAGCACATTCTCTGGTCACAGCCTGATGATCTCGAGCTGAGACCCCAGCTCCCTCTTTGGCAATGACTGTCATTTGTAGGTGCTCTGTGCCTGGTGCTTGGCTAGCCCACATGATTCTCTTATCAACAGCACCCACATTGAAAACACTTCTGGCCACTGCAGGAGGCAGAGTCAGCATGGCACCCAGGTCTGCACGGCACTTAGGAACCACACCACCCAGGAGCACACATTGTCACCTACTGCAGAAGTCCATGACACACAGGCTGGCCCCACCTCACCTTGTCAGTTGGAATTCTTACAAAGTCACCAGTGGGCTTGGGACCACATGCACTTTGGAGAGAGGTGGGGACCACAACACAGCAGTGTGCAGAGGTTCATGGTCATGTCTGAGCAATGGGCTCGCTGGGGATAGGAGCATGTTTCTGTCTCCTAAGTTGTCAGGTGCCTAGCGGGGGCCAAACACAGAGCTGACCAGACAGAATCCCCACTTGGGCGGGGCCCAGAGGAGCCACAGTGTGACTGGGTGACTCAGCAAGGCCCCTGTGCAGGACGTGATGTTACAACACAAGACTGAGCCGCAGGCGGCCAACTGGGGACCTGGGTGTGTGTGAACAGAGCTCAGCACTGTCACCAAATGAAACGGGCAGCAAAGCTCACCCAAGCAGGTCTAATAACACACTTCCCTGCCTGTTACACAATTAGGCTTGAGCGGGTGCCTCTTGGTGGGCCTGGCTGTAATTAACGCTGCTCTTCCTGCAGCTAAACAAAACTCTCCAGGAGAGGGAGGCCCGCAGGGTCACCCAGGGTTGGAAGCACCCTGGGTGAGTCTGTCCTGCCTGCCCCCTGCACAGCCTACTGCCAGCTCTCCCCTCCCCCTGCTAGAGCCCGGGGGAGGGGCTCTCATGGCTCCATGACAGCCCTCTCTTCCTCTCCCCACAGTCCCCACCCATCCCATGGGCAGCGACACACCTCACCCCTCTGGCCACCTCCAAGGCCAGCAAAGTGACAACCATGGAGAAGAAACAGCAGAAAAGTGGAACTAATGAAGAAAGGTATTAGCAAGGAATTTTAAAGAGCTGGGAGTGGGCGTGTGGCTTAGTGGTTGAGCTGCTGATTAGGACCTCACATTAGAGTGCATGGGTTTGATTGCTGGCTCCAGCTGTCAGCTCCAGGTTCCTGCTAGTGCAGACCCTCGGAGGCAGCAGTGATGGCTCAGGTAACTGGGTTCTTGCCACCTGCATGGGAGACTTGGATTGGGATCTCAGCTCCTGGATTCAGTATCTGTCCAGCTGTAAGGGCTTTGGGGGGCATGGGGTGAACTAGAGGATGGGAGCTCTCTTTGTCTCTCTCTTTTTATAATAAGTAAATACTTTTTTTTATTTAAAAAATGAGAGATGGAAATGAAACTGGGGGAGGCAGGGAGGCAGGCAGCTGGGCAGCCAGAGGGCATGCTGCCACCTTGAGACTGCGGCCCCTGACCCCGAGGGAACCACCTGGGGGTGGGCCGAGCACTTGACCAGCTTCAGAAACGGGCAGCTGGCCAGGAGCAGGGGCTGCGTCTTCTGCCTCCCAAGCCCGCCCAAAGACACCTTTAAGACCACCTCATCCAGCTGCCTCGGCCTGGGCTCCTCTCTACTTCCGTCTGGCATTCTTCTGTCCCATGTGCAATAAAATGTCACGGGTTTAGTACTGTGGGAGAAAAGCCAGGAAGAGTCATGGCCAGCCCGAGCAGGTGTACTGTTAACAACAGGCGGCTCCACGCAGTTCTGGGCGGTTTGAGTGTCACAGGAACCTCTTTCTAAAGGCGACTGGATGTCCTTGAGGCTCTGTTTCAAGGCAAACAAGGGCAAGCCAGGGTTACAGCTGTCGGTCTGAGGTGCGTGGGAACACTGCCTATTGAAGCCGTCATTCCTGCGGCCGCAGAAACTGAAGCCAGCTGTTAGGCCACACCTGCAGAGCTGACGCTGCACCTGGGCAACCTCACCTTGTGACAGCAGCACCGCCGAGGTGGACCTGGATGCTCTGAGGGTCAGAGACTGGTGTCTCTGAGGGCCATGGACTATCTGCCCAGGTGTCCTACAGACCAAATGGTAACCGATGACTGGATTTCTTTTAGCCTTCATAATAAATAATGTGAGTGCAAACAGAATGAGAGGGACCAGCACTATGGCATGGCAGATAAAAGCTGCCTGTGGTGCTGGCATCCTATATGGGCGCTGGTTCAAGTCCTGGCTGTTCCACTTCCAATCCAGCTCCCTGCTAATATGCCTGGGAAAGCAGTGGAAGATGGCCCAAGTGCTTGGGCCCCTGCACCCATGTGGGAGACCAAGAAGAAGCTTCTGGCTCCAGGCTTAGGACTGGCCATTTGGGGAATGGATGAGCAGATGGGAGATTCTCCCTCTGCCTCTGCCTTTGCCTGTCTCTCTCTGTAACTCTGCCTTTCAAATAAATAAATCTTAAAAAATAAAAAGAAGAATAGAAGGAGAACATGGTTCTCCTGGTCACAATTTTTTTAAAGAGATTTACTTATTTATTTGAAGGTCAGAGTTACACACAGAGAGAAGGAGAGGCAGAGAGAGAGATAGAGGTCTTCCATCCGCTGGTTCACTCCCCAGTTGGCTGCAACGGCCAGAGCTGAGCCAAACCAAAGCCAGGAGCCAGGAGCCTCCTCTGGTTCTCTCACGTGGGTGCAGGGGTCCAAGGACTCCAGCCATCCTCTACTGCTTTCCCAGGCCACAGCAGAGAGCTGGACTGGAAGTGGAGCAGCTGGGACTTGAACTGATGCCCACATGGGATGCTGGCACTGAACGTAGCAGCCTTACCCGCTGCACCACAGCACTGGCCCCATCCTGGCCAAATTAACAAAAATGTTAGGATGTGGAACCGGTTCAGTTTCCACTTTATCAGGGCCACCAACCATGTCTCTACAGAGACTGAATCCTCAGTCGGACAATTCCCTCTGTCCCACATGGGGGTAGCTTCCGGCATTTTCCACCCAATCCATGTGAAATGGGCAGGGAGGGGTCACGTGACGCCCACCTGTCTCCTTGGAGACCTGCAGCCGCTGACCGTTGCAGAAGGCGCCCCGGCCCCTCTGGCCCGTGTACAGCCGCTCCTCAGTGCAGTGGTAAATCACTCCAAATTCCAGCTGTGGGTAAGGAGCAGGACAGAAAACAAATGCGGATCACTCATCCCACATGAAAAATACAGAAAGTTAAAGGCAAGGGCTACTCCAGGTTCCAAGATGAGCACAGTGACCATGGGACAGAGGTAACCTTCCAGGAGGAATGGGAGAAAATTAGAGTCCAGATTTCACACTAGACCTCGAAGTGGAAGCTGATTTTCTTTCTTACATACTAGTGTTTTTTTGTTTTTTTTTTGACAGGCAGAGTGGACAGTGAGAGAGAGAGAGAGAGAGAGAGAGAGAGAAAGGTCCTCCTTTGCCGTTGGTTCACCCTCCAATGGCCGCCGCAGCTGGCGCACCACACTGATCCGAAGCCAGGAGCCAGATGCTTCTCCTGGTCTCCCATGGGGTGCAGGGCCCAAGCACTTGGGCCATCCTCCACTGCACTCCCGGGCCACAGCAGAGAGCTGGCCTGGAAGAGGGGCAACCGGGACAGAATCCGGCACCTCGACCAGGACTAGAACCTGGTGTGCCGGCGCTATAGGCGGAGGATTAGCCTAGTGAGCTGGGGCGCCGGCCCATACTAGTGTTTTTAAAATATATGAAGATGGGGCCGGTGCTGTGGTGTAGAAGGCTTAGCCTCCAGCTGCGGTGCTGGCATCCCATATGGGCGCCAGTTCATATCCCAGCTGCTCCTCTTTCCAATCCAGCTCTCTGCTTATTGGTCTGGGAAAGCCTTGGAGGACGGCCCAAGTGTTTGGACCCCCGTACCCACGTGGGAGACCCAGAAGAAGCTCCCACCTCCTAATCAGCCCAGCTCTGGCCACTGTGGCCATTTGGGGAGTGAACCAGTAGATGGAAGAACTTTGTTTCTGTCTCTCCCTCTCTCTGTCTATAACTCTACCTCTCAAATAAATAAATAAAATCTTTCAAAAAATATGTATGAAGACTAGGGGCCAGTGTTGTGGTGCAGCAGGTTATGCCACCACTTGCAAGACTGGCTTCCCATACAAGCGCCAGTTTGAGTTCCAGCTGCTCCACTTTCCATCCAGTTCTCTGACAATGTGCCTGGGAAAACAGCAGAAGATAGCCCTATTGCTTGGGCCTCTGCCACCCACATCAGAGACCCAGATAGAGTTCCAGGTTTCTGGCTTTGGCCTGGCTCAGCCCCAGCTGTTGCAGCCATTTGGGGAGTGAATCAGTGGGTAGAAGATCTCTCTCTCTCTCTCTCTCTCTCTCTGTAACTCTGCCTTTCAAGTAAATAAGTAAATCTTGAAAAAAAATGAAGATTAATAAAACTATTTTAAAAATTCACATCATAGGGGCTGGCGCTGTGGCACGGTGGGTAAAGCTGCTGCCTGCAGTGGTTCGAGTCCTGGCTGCTCCACTTCCAACCCAGTTCACTACTAAGGCCTGGGAAAGCAGTATAAGATGGCCCAAGTCCTTGGGCCCCTGCACCCACGTGGGAGACTACGAAGAAGCTCCTGGCTCCTGGCTTCAGATGGGCGCAGCTCTGGCCGTTGTGGCCATTTGGGGAGTGAACCAGCAGCTAGAAGACCTCTTTTTCTCTCTCTGCTTCTGCCTCTCTGTAACTCTGCCTTTTAAATAAATAAATAAAATAAATCTTAAAAAATTCATACCATAATCAACCATTAGTAACCAAAAGTTACTGAAAAAGGTTATTTCTTTAGAAAGGGCTTAAATCTTTTTTTTAAGCTGTGGAAAAAGGACCACGCGAGGCTAATCCTTTTTTTGTTTTGTTTTGTTTTGTTTTTTAAAAGATTCATTTGTTTATTTGAAAGTCAGAGTTACAGAGAGGCAGAGGCAGAGGCAGAGAGAGAAGTCTTCTATCCATTGGTTCACTCCCCAGTTGGCCGCAATGGCTGGAGCTATGCTGATCCAAAGCCAGGAGCCAGGGGCCAAGCGCAGCTTCCTGGTCTCCCATGTGGATGCAGGGGCCCAAGCACTTAGGCCATCTTTTACTGGTTTCCCAGGCCATGGCAGAGAGCTGGATCGGAATTGGAGCAGCCAGGACTCGAACTGGTGCCCATATGGGATGCTGACATTGCAGGCGGCAGTTTTACCTGCTATGCCACAGCACCGGCTCTGAGGCTAATCCAACCCCTAAGAAACCCTCCTGACTGCCCTGGAAGAGAAGAGGCTCCCCACAGAGGGCCTTGCCCCAAGCACCTATCGCAGTCTCTCCAGAGCCCTCTGGGCACGAATCAGGGCTTCACAGTACAAACAGGCAGGAGGAAGAGGCTGCGTGGGACATGATACGGCCTCTGGCCCATGCACCTGCCTTTGCTGTTCCCCAGCCTGCTTCCAACCAGCCCAAGCTGACAAGAGCAAGTGTGCCCGGCCGGGCGCGGAGTCAAGCATTCACCTCTCCAGGCAATGACAGACCCAGGCCAATGGCTTCCCGAGGCCTTGGTCGGCCCTGGGGTGAACTCAACCACTCTGCCGTGGACGTCCCACCCTCCAGGGAAGGGGCTGATTCCTGGAGAAGGGGGGGAGGAAGCAGGAGTCACTGGGCTCACAATGACAGCCTGCAGCTTCCTAGCAATACTCAATCCCTCCTCCACAGCCCTGGCTTTACCAGGATTCCCAAACCCAGGCCCATCCCAGAATGCCTGGGCTTACAAACACAGCAGGCTCACAAGCAGGTTCAGAACCTGGCCCCAGCCCCTCCTCTCCTTCCTGCTTACCTGGTGGTCATGGAGTCAGCCCCAAGGTCCCACACTGACCAGTCCCAGGGACAACATTTAGTAGGGAAACAAGGGAACGACTAACTCCCTACGCAAATGCCGATGTGAACATTCTTGCTGGCACTTGGGGACGGGTGTAAATCGCTCTCAGCTTCCTCGCTGGGGAATCGGGGGCTGAGATGAACAAATGCTTTTCTAGAGGAGGCCGGCAGTCCCAACACTGAAGCAACAGCAAAGAAATTAAGGCTCTTCCAGGCGTCACTGCTTGAATAGAGTAATAAGGGTGAACTCCCCAGCCCTGCCTCCCGTCAGGTCCTGTGACAGCGCCTGGCTCAGGATGCCGCCTGGAATCCTGGAAGAGGCTCATTCCCCCAGGCACGGCCCGAGGGAGACACAGAGTTAACAGAAGAGCGGGATTAAAAAGGCTCTCCCAAAATAGGAGTTCTTCTTCTTTGCGAGGAGGTCACACGCTCTAGGGGTCAGCTGGAGACTGACTCACACCACTCGCTCGGAACGTCCCCTTCCTCGGCAGGCCGAGGAGCGAGTGCCTCCTTGATTTCCCAGTCCCTGGGAAGGGAAGGCGCGTGGTGGGGAGCGGACGGAACAGCTCGTACCTCTTGGTGCACGGCAAATCCAATGCTGACAGCCACAGTGGGGAATCTGCAAGGAAACAGAAGGCTTAGCACTTGGAGCCCTCGTGGCTGTGTGGCAGCCTCCTGGGAGGCACACAAGGACCTCTCTGTGCCTGGGCTGGGTTGATTTTTTTTTTTTTTTAATCGACTTCCCACAATTTTACTCACTGCTTCCAAGACAAACAGACTTATCTGGCCACGTGGTGAGATTGTCAACCTCGAAAGAAAACAGCATTCTGAGGGTCATGTCAGACCGATGCAATTCAACAATGACCATCTTGTGCCCAAGTAGCAGTGATTTTAATAGCAGGTTCCTGGTTCTCAGGGACCTCAAGGCCAACAGAGACCTCCCGAAAGGCCAGTCCCAGGAGGGCAGTGGAGGGTCTCGGAGGCTGCAGTCTCCCCGTGGAGGGGGCTCCACTTCCAGCCACAGTGGCACAGCCTTGTCCTACCGCCTGCCAGGCTCCCAAGCAGCCAACGGCAGGGCGAGCCGCAGTGGTGGAGGCTTGGCTTTTGTCAGTTTGCCTGTGGTTCTGTGTGGTGATGTTGTCACGGCTGCTCAATGTCTTCGGAATAATCTCTCCTTTATGTGAGAGCAATCAGCACTGTAAAAACAGGCAGCCGTGAGGCAAGGCCGGGTCCTAAGGACAGCACCAGTCACACACACAAGCAAACCCTGACTGCTAGGGCGTGTGCAAACACCCAACTTCAGTCCTGTTGCTCCCCACGTGAACACGTGCCCCTGGTGTGGCATTAGCCCCTACCCACTGCCGTTTCCACACCGATGGGCACCAGCAGGGATGGGCACTGTCTGAGCTCAGCTGCCAGGAGCTGTCGGACAGCTTAGCCAGTGACGTGCCACAGCGTGGCCCCATGGTTCTGACCGCCACGATCAGCTACAGGATCTGTTTTCCACCCAAAACTCTCCGCCGAGCTGCCCTCTGTGGCCCCAGAGGGTTCCAGAGAAAGGTGCCTTGCAAAAGGGGTTCTGGAGCCCCTGGAGTCCACAGGAGCCCTATAGATGGACACATGGCCCTCCCCATGTGAGTGCTCTGCCTGTCACATGCCAGTCCCCAGCACTGGGATAATGAGGGGGACAGAAGTGACGCTGCTCCACTCAAGACACCCCTGGGGGGGTCACACTTCAGTGGAACTGACACCCTGGTGACAGTGCTGCAGGTGCCGATGGCTCCGCCCCACCGCCTGAAAAGTCATGGCTGGGTCTGCCTCTAGAAGGTGGCCACGGTGCTGGGGTTACTACACACGCTCCACAGATAAAGAAACTGCTGGAGGCCAGCCTGCTGACACCAAGAGCTAGGGACCCACAACCTGGCTGGCTCCTGCTCGTCACTCAGCACAGCCCCCCACCCCACCCCCGTTCAGCAGCATGGGCGTGGCCTGGGACCTGGGGGCTGCCCTTCCCTGGGGACAGGGACTTCCTGCAGAGGTGCCAGGCACATTCAAGTGAGAGAACCACCTTCAGCTCCAGCAGCCGCTGGCTGTCAGGGAGCTTCCTCTGCTTCTGTGCCTGTCATCTCGCCAGCTCAGCAGCCAAGTTCCCGTCCCCTCCTGGGTGGTCCCCCTGTCCTCCCTAAACCTCCTGCTTTCTGGAACCCTGAGGTTTGCGTCCAGGGGGAAGCAGCTCTGAGTCTCACTGGCACTGCCGCTGCCTGCAGCCGCTGGTCAGCACAGGTGCATCTCCTAACCTCACCTATTTCCCCGGGGAGCGTTTCTTAAATTCAACCCAACACTTTAAGGGTAACAAACGATGGGTTTTAAACACAGGAGGGTTTCCTGACAGTCGCGGAGGCTCTCTCACAAATGGAAAACCTCATGTGAAAACTCTCATCAGGATCACGTCAGTATTTTAACGAGACCACACACTTGCTGCGCGCTTCGGTGTGCACTGCTGCCTCACATACGCTGCTGCAGGAAAGACAGGGTTCAGGAGACCACGCGGCGCTCTGTAGGAGGGGCCGCCGCTCCCGCTCACCTGTGCACGAAGTTGCAGGTGCCATCGATGGGGTCGATGATCCAGGTCGGGCTGGGGGTGAGCACGCACTTGGCCCCGGAGGCCGCAGCCTCCTCTGCAATGAACCTGCGGTGGAAGAACTCGGTCTGAGCAAACACGCCAGGGCCACCACCCGCCGAGCCTGCACCTGCTTCCAGTTCCAGGAGAGAAGGAGGAGGCCGAGGGAAAACAATGCCTCGCAGGTTCTAGGGGCCAAGCAGGGGCAGGGTCTCTGACAGGCCTCCTGTTTCTCCACCTGCCTGGCGGGCTACTCACTGCGGGACCATAGTGCCCAAGGTTGGGAGACACTGCCAGGGCCTGGAGCAGGTAGAGGGTGCAAGGGGCACTGGGCAGTGGGACCACGGAGACAAAGCTAAACTCTGCTGTAACCTTGGTCTGGAGAGGGGCCGATGACATCAAAGCGTGGGGAGCGACAGATGACTTCTGTGACCTGAGCCACCAGGGGCTAAATGTCACTTGCAGCCAACATCTCCCCTGAACTGTAGACACAGGTGACAATGGGTGGATGGCAGCTGTGGCTCCCGCTTCCCCACGGATGCCCTCCCTACTCCTGGTATCCAGCTTCCCTTCAGGATAAAGCAGGGGCAGGATGGGACGGCATGAAGAATAGAGCGGGATTATGAGGACACTGCTTGCTCACTCACAGCCTCTCTGGGTGCCCATGAAGCTCCCTGCTTATCCAAGAGGCCTCCTCCCTCCGCTCAGGGTCACAGCCACCTGCTCCTGGTCTGAGGCTCCTGTGCTCTCTGTAGTCAGCCCCCATCAGCCACCCACCCCATCAGGAACCTGGACAAGGGGCTAGCACTGTAGCTTAGCAGGTTATGCTGCCCCCTGTGACACCAGCATCCCTATAGGAGCTGGTTCCTATCCCAGCTGCTCCACAACCAATCTAGCTCCCTGCTAATTTTCCTTTGAAAGCAGCAGATGATAGCCCAAGTCGTTGGGTCCCTGGGAAGCTTCTGGCTCCTGGCTTCAGCCCAGCCCAGCCCTGACCATTGCAGTCATTTAGGGAGTGAACCAGCAGATGGAAGAATGCTCTCTCTCTCTCTCTCTGAAACTCTGCCTTTCAAATAAATAAATCTTAAATTAAAAAAAAAGAAAAGGAACCTGGTCAAGACAACAGCATCTCCAGATGCACCTGTACTAAATGGGCTTCCTGGCTTCTTCCACATGGCTCAGGTCCAAACCTCAGGGTCAGTGTTGTGGTGCAGTGGGTTAAACCCTGGCTGTGACACTGGCATCCCATGGTGGAGCGCCAGTTTGAGCTTCTAATGCAGCTTCCTGGGAATGTAGCAGATGATGGCCAAGTGCTTTGGCCTGGATGATCCCAAGCTGTTGTGGCCATTTGGAGAGTGAAACAGCAGATGGAAGATTTCTCTATCTTTTGAAGTAAAGAAAGAAATCTAAAATAAACACATAAAGCCGAAGGACACTCCTAAGCCTTCCTTCCAGCTGTCCCCCTCCCCAGCACACAGCGAGGGCAGCAAGCTGGCCGCTGCTCAAACCTGCAGAGCGGCCCTCAGGGCTGGAGATGAGCGGCTGCGTGAGGCGCAGGGCAGTGCTCAGGGCACAGGCAGCACCCTCCCAAGTGTGCAAAGGGCGGGGCCCTGGTGTGGGTTTGTCTGAGGCAGGCGCTGAGCACCTGTAGCCACGTCCACACCTGCATTACAGGAAGAAGCCTGGACGGGCTGCATTTTCACCAACGAGGGACTAGGAGTGGAAAACAAGGTAAGCTGCTTGTGCCACGGCCGGCCCTGGGGGTGCTATCCTTCGTCCACCAGCTGCTGGGCTCCGAGGAGCCTCCCACGTCGGCCAGGCCACCACCTCCACCAGAGGCACTCCTGAATGCTTCTTTCCTTGGGCGAACCACGTGACCTGAGATTTGGCATCGAGGTGCTTGTGGACAAGATGGGCAATCTGACATTATAACAAGAGGCCTGACGTGGAGACTTCCATAACCGTCTGCCCACTGTTGAAGTTGAAATTAACAGAAATGAAGAATTCAGTTCCTTAGTCTCCCTGGCCACACTTCAAGGGCTCAGCCCTCTTCTCAGGGGGCTGGCAGTTACCATGTGGGCAGTACAGACAGGGCCCACTTCTGCCAAGGGGCAGTACAGTCCTTGCATATGTTTGGACATCCTGCCTCCATCCACACAGGACAGCCGTACCCTGTGATACGTGAGGCTGTCACCTTCCTTTCACAGGCTGCGAGATCCATGCTGCGAATGAGGAGTTGTGCCTGCCTCGTTCCCTGGGGGGGAACCCTTGGATGGGCCCACCAGGTGCTGGGATGTGAACACAGGATGAGGGGAGGCCTGAGGGAGACACCTGAGGAACTCATGGCGTGGAGAGCTCAGGCAGGCAGGGCTGGCCCCAGGAGCTCACAGCCTGCAGGCTCCACACTCATGCATTCCTTCAGGGCACTGCCTTCCTCCCACGTCCCTGCACTGCCTCTGCTCACTCTGGCTCGCCAGCCAGAGTCCTGCTCAGGGGCTGGTCTTCCCCAGACCAGTCCAGATGGAACAAACAGCAGGTGAAGACACAGTGGGGCCGGAAGGGGGCAGCGTGGATGCTGGACCACAGCAGCAAGGCAGGCGATCCAAGGGACAACTACTCCCAAGGTGACACTGGTGAAGTGGCATCACTCTGCCACTTTTCTAAGCCAAAGATGCCAGGAACTCAACCTGCTTGCATGTGTTCTTCTGCAGCTGCATGATTTCCCTTCCCCGAAATGGCTTGCAATTCTGTTTTTAAAGAAAATGGTTCACACCCTAAAAACACACACATATGAGGAGCGAGTGCCAAAGCCGAAATTGGGCGCAAGGTCACCGAGGCAGTGGACAAACACGATGAAGTCGAGGAGGGAAGGGAAGAGCCTCCCATACAAGGACAAGTTCCCAGGAAACAGGAGGAGCATGGGGTTCCTTTCCTTCTTAAATCTGATTTCAAGGAGGAAATTGGAGAGTTGGCAAGGAAATGCTTGGGGTCTCTGCAAGGAGAAGGGAGCACGTGTCAGCAGCCAGAAAGGCTGGTCCTAGCGCACAAGGCTCCCAGCTGCGGCCCAGCCATGGGCTGCCCAGGATCCACGGCCCCATGCAGTGGAGCGCTCTCTAAAGGTTCAGTGAGCAGTTTGTTTTCCCAGCAGCAACCATGATGTCCCCATTCAAGTTTCTATTCTGAATGACATTTCCCACGGCAAGTACTCAAGGGACTCCTTGCCCCCCATTGAACTCTGGACTTTTAAAACATTCATTTATTTGTTAAAAAATAGTTATTTTGGGGGCCGGCACAGTGGGCTGGGCCTCTGCCTGCAGCACCAGTATCCCATATGGGTGCCAGTTCGAGTCCTGGCTGCTCCCCTTCTGATCCAGCTCTCTGCTATGGCCTGGAAAAGCAGTAGAGGATGGCCCAAGTGCTTGGGCCCCTGCACATGGGGGACATGGAGGAAGCTCCTGGCTCCTGGCTTCAGATCAACCCAGCTCTAGACATTGTGGCTATTTGGGAAGTGAACCAGCGGATAGAAGACCTTTCTGTCTCTCCCTCTCTCTGTCTGTAACTCTACCTCTCAAATAAATAAATACAATCTTTAAAAAATAAAAAATATTTATTTGAAAGACAGGATTACAGTGTGAGGGAGGGACCAAAAGACACATATACACAGAGAAGGAATCTTCCATCTGCTGATTCACCCCTCAAATGGCTGCAGCGGCCAGATCTAGGCCAGGCTGAAGCCAGGAGCCTACAACGCCATCTGGGTCTCCCACGTGCGTAGCAGGGGCCCAATTACCTGGACCATCATCTGCTGCTTTCCCAGGTACATTAGCAGGGAGCTGAATAGGAAGTGGTGCAGCCAGGACTCATACTGCCACTCATATGGGAAGCCGGCAGTGCAAGGGGTAGCTTAACCCACTGTGCCACAACACTGGTCCCTGGACTTTTGAGAGGCAGAAAAACACAGAGGTACAGGGAGGGAGAGAGGGAGAACCCATCCAGTGGTTCACTCTGCAAATACCTGCAGGAGGGCGCTGAGGCCAGGAACTCCATCCAGGCCTCCCACATGGGTGGCAGGGACCCAACTACCTGAGCAGTCACCACTGCTTCCCCTGCTTCACGAGGGGGCTGGAGTCAGGAGCCAGAGCTGATATCAAACGCGTCTCAACTGCTAGGCCAAACGCCCACCCTGAGCCCTAGGCATTTCTTAGTGGTTGATTATTCACGTCTTAGAGCTCCCCAACCCCAGCTCACCCTATGCCCACCCTTTGGCCATTCTGCTCACTAGTCCACCTGCCCACCAGGGAGACAGAAGGCACTCAGGGCAGGGGCTGTGGAGGTTGACAGCAGCGTGGACCGTATTCAAAAGATTCATTTTATTTATTTGACAGGCAGAGCCTCAGAGAAAGGTAGAGACAGAGAAAGGTCTTCCATCTGCTGGTTCACTCCCCATATCCGCAACGGCCAGAGCTGCACTGATCTGAAGCCAGGAGCCAGGAGCTTCTTCCTAGTCTCCCACGTGGGTGCAGGGGCCCAAGGACTTGGGCCATCTTCTACTGCTTTCCCAGGTCACAGCAGAGAGCTGGATTGGAAGTGGAGTAGCCGGGACTAGAACCAGTGCCCATATGGGATGCCAGCGCCTCAGGCCAGGGCGTTAACTTGCTGAGCCACATATTCAGCTTTTTGAGGCACCTAAAGACTTCCCTGGGATGTGGGGAGGGAGGCAGGACTTTTATTTACTTAAACCTGACTTCCTTCATGTAGGAAGCTAACACCTACAGAACAGGAGAGAACATTCCAAGGCTCTTGGCAGAGGGGGAGGGAGAGTCCACGCCACAAACCGTATCCTGCACAGACTCAAGTGTGAAATAATCTTTCATAAAAGCTGTGGAACAGCTACATAAAAATCTACATGTAAGTTGCAAAAAAAGAAAATCATGGAAGCAGATAAGAAAACAGCAGCTGGGTTCAGGGTGAAGTGTGTGACTAGGGAGAATGCTACATTTTGCGGCCTAATTTAACTACTTCCGTTTTCTCTTGGTAGTTGCAACAAAGCTTCCTTATAATTTTGACAGCCAAGTGCCTGGAGACTTTGCCCGTGGCTACTTCATCTGTTTACTCTATGACGGAAGGTTTGGGTTGTCCCTTTGGTCCATGAAGGACAGCTGATGTTACTCAGGCTATCTTCACAAGCTACTGCTCTGTCCCCACCGGCCGCTCTGCAGGCTACTGGCCCCAGGCTGGGGAAGACTATGATCAGGTGTCCAGCTGGGGGTGGTGCGAGCATGCCTGTTCCATGTCAAGGCTCTGTGTTATGTTCTGTTTGACGCACAGATGAACAGACACTGCTCTGTGCTGGGCACACCGCAGGACACTGGGTCCCTCTGCGGGCTCTGACCAGGGCAGCATAGGCGGCTGGACAGGCCAAGCAGCTCAGGCTGCCGCCTTCTTCGTGTCTCAGCTAGCCCAGACAATCTCGGACCTGGTTGGACGATCTTAGGAGCAGGCGTTGTGGCGTGGTTTATATCACCACAGAGCCACGATGCCACGAGACTTTCAAAGCACCTACGCTTGCATCTGACTCCAAATCACCAACTGAAAACAGTTCGGGGATCCAACAGAGCTGGGGCCTGCACTGAGCTGAGCTCGTGTGGTCGGTGTCAACAGCATGCTCTGATGACCCAACCTGCATCCCAGCCTCATGGTGCTGGATTACTTTGTGCCATCATCACGGCAGGTTAAGGCAGCTGCTGCGAACTTGGGGACGGCCGTGATGTCATTGATATTGTTTTATGGGGGTGGCCTGTAATGTGGGGTAGTGGGTAAAGCTGCCACCTGTGATGCCAGCATCCCATGTGGGTGCCGGAGTGTGTCCCGGCTGCTCCAGCACAGTTGATAAAGCACCCAGAAATGGCTGACTGGTCGCTGTTATGTACTGAACAGGATTGGGCACCCCAAACTCTGCAGATGTTTAAACCCCAAAGTCTGATGGCGTAGTGCTAGCGGCTGACGGATCAGGGTCGGGGCTTGGTCTGAGGCTGGTGCCTGAAGGTGGGGCCTTTGGGAAGTGACTAGATTGGATTCGGTTGCATGTGGGGAGCCCCAGACTGGGTTGTGATGGTTTAGTCAGAGGCACTCAACATGGAAGGGGAGCCCTTTGCTTCCTGGCTCTCCCTCCAGGCACCCTTCCCCTGCACCTGTTCACATCAGATGCAGACTAACAAGGCTGCCCCATGGTGGCCTGCAAAACTTCAAAAACTCCCAGTGGAAATAAAGCTTCCCCCTCCCTAAGAAGCTCCTCAGAGGTATTTTAGTTCAAGTAACAAAAGGCTGACTAATTCGATTCCTGTAGCGTTTTTTCCTCTTAAAGAGTAAAAGCAGTCCATAGGGTACAAGTCTTGTGACACTTGTGGCGTAGTGGGTAAAGCCGCTGCCTGCAGTGCCGGCATCCCATATGGGTGCTGGTTTGGGTCCCGGCTGTTCCACTTCTGATCCAGCTCTCTGCTATGACCTGGGAAAATAGTGGAGGACGGTCCAAGTCCTTGGGCCGCTGCACTCACATGTGAGACCTAGAAGAAGCTCCAGGTTCCTGGCTTCAGATCGGCCCAGCTCCTGCCATTGCAGCCACTTGAGGAGCAAACCAACAGATAGAAGATCTACCCCCCCTCCCTGTCTCTGCCTCTCTGTAACTCTGCCTTTCAAATAAGTAAATTAATCTTAAAAAAAAAAAAAAAAGCCAAGAAGATGACAAGCATCTGTTTTAACAGGGACCCTGACTTCAGGCAGAATAAGAAATAGGGATGTCAGAGAAGCTCACACACAGAGGTTGTCAATCAAGCAGAACAGGCACGAGCCTCAGGCAGAGCCTCCCAGGAGTGCTGCTAACCCTGAGAGCACCCAACTGGGCAGGGGAGGGGGGAGGGGTGTTTCCACACCTGCCTGTTCCTTGTCCCCACAAGCACTCACGAGCACCCTGTACTGAGCCTCGTGTACACTCAACAGGTGCAGGGTGGGTGTCATATGTATCACTGTCACCTAGGCTTACATAAACACAGACCTGACAGCTCCTGTAACCTGTGCCCAGGAGTCTGACAGCTAAGACAGCAGTTCTGGGACTCCAACACCTTTAAGAGATCCTATACAAGGAAGAAAAGAGACTCTTCACATCCCAGTGCCTCAGAGACCCTGCGCTGAAGAATAAATCATAATTTGGGGTCTGTGGCTTCCCTGGAATCATAGGCAAAATACCACATCAATGTTTTAATTGATGCTTTTTAACTGTTTGCATCAGGTTCTCCATACGTAACCCTGGAAAGGCTGAGAGCTTCCGGTGTGAAAGTGGTCTCTGTGAGGCCTTCTGGGGAACTCTCCCCATGTCCCCCACACGTGTTGGCCTGAATGAGGGGGGTGTGCATCAGTGACCACTGGCTGTGTCCCATCCTGGAAGCCTGCCTGGGCAGCAAGTGGCCCAGCCAATGGGGACATCGGGCAGGCGCAGCCTCTACTGCATCGCTGCACAGAAGAGCTGGGGACCGAGGAGCAGGGAGCTCCCCCTGAGAATGGGTTGTACCAAGAGGGAGCTTTCAACATCTGTCAGGTGCGACACTGACGTCACTGTCGTTGAGAAAACAGGACACAGAACGGAACCCGAGTCTGTCTGCTTCCCAGGGGCCTGCCCCTCACCGACAAGTGGCAGGGCCTCTGGGTGAGGTCCTGGCTGCTTCCTGAGCGAGGTGGGTGCCACGGGGTTATGCACCCCGAGGCGTACGCCTACCTGTGCGAAGGAAACCTCTCCCGCAACTCGGAAATGATTAAATCTTCCACGAGGTGGTCTGTTTCTGTCACGAGATCCGCAGCTGAGGTCTTCGTGGAGACGCGCTTTTCCTCCGTGAGCGCCTTCCTGATGATCTGCAAAGAAGGCACTGGGCTCAGCTCACCACCGTCCCCTCCTGGAGCAGAGCGCTGTCAGCTGGGGCGCTCACTGGACCCGCCATGCCCCGCCCACATCCCGGGGCTCAGTGCCACACCCACAGCTCCCAGTCGCTATTTTTTCACAGGCTCACTGCTTCAAGTTGTTTTGCCCTAGCTGTGAACAGTTTTTCTATAGAGCAATGTGCAACTTTCACCTACAAGAGCAGCCCAACCAAGACCCGTGCTAACTTATGTGCCCCCTATTCCCATATATTTGAATGTGTGCATTTGGGTGTGCAGTAAAAGCTTCTTTTCCCTAATACTCTACATTTCAGGAATCACACAGAGCGGGAGATTTCAGCCAGAGCCTCGCAGAGCCAAAGCAACCTCATACAGTATTCGTCAGGCCGGGGTGCTGCAGGTGCAAAGCCCACAGGATCCCAGTGCCAGAGGAGCTGGGAGCTGTTGGGCCATGTGGCTGGCTTGGGGAACCCAGGAGCACCTGTCGGGGGTACAGGCCCAGCCACAGGTATTCAAAGGAGGCAGGGTGTCCTGTCGTGGTCTTTCAGAAAACTGCTCACTTGTTTAATGTCTGTTACTGTGGTTGCTCCAATGCTTCTCTTTGTGGGCAATGTCACAGGGAAAGTCGCAGTGCTTGCACGTGCCAGTGCCCCCGAGCTGTGAAGCAGGTGCACTACTCCCCTTGGTCCTGGCCCTCTGCCTCGCCTCCCCCTCCCCCCACCCTGCCTCTCTCCATCAGGTCCTAGTCCCATCACCACTTGTGTGCCAGGCCCTCCACACCCAGCCTGGGCTGCACTGGTGTCCCAGCCACCCCCACACCAGGCTCAGCGCCTCACAGGTATCTTCCCGCCACCCTTCTGCACCTTGGCATGGCACCAGGCCTCCACTCTAGCATGTCTCCAGGGCCCTGGCTAAGGCCCCTTCTCCTGGGTCAGATGCAGCCCAGTGCATAGTATTTGATCACACCAGGCCACTGTCCATTCCCCTAGGCCGTGGGCTTCTCAGGGCAGGAACCCTGCCTTTAGTCTCAGTAGCTGCAGGTCAGCCCTCCCCTCCCTGTCACGAGTACAGGGGTGATTCAGCAGTGCTTGTCCACGCGGTGAGGTTTTGTCAAACGGAGTGCCACACCTGGGGCAGCCACACAGCTTAGCTCCCTTTCTGTCACCAGTGCATAGTTGGCAGCAGGCTCATCTAAAAACACCTGGACGCCCGGTGGTTCTCCCTGAAGACAATGCCCCGCCTAGAACGCAATCCTGATATCCACCAATCTTGGTAACTTAGGACCAAAAACCAAAAAGCTACTATCCATATGATATACCAGTCTCCAAACGGGATGCTAAAATACTAGGTTAGGAAAGGTTTAATTCGTGAATTTCCCTACAGTGAGAGGGAAGGTGATGAGAGAACGTCACCAACAAAGTAAGGTGCTTTTCTAAATTAGTAAGTACTAGACTCAAACAGTCTGGCCCTAGGTAGCCATCTGGCTTAGAGGCTAAGACACAGACCAGGATGCCTGTGTCCCACATCAGAGTGCCTGTCACTGGCTCCCATTGCCAGCTTCCTGCTGATGCAAATCCTGGGAGGCAATGGTGATGGCTCAGTGAACGGGCACCTGCCACTCACATGGGAGACCTGGATCCTGTTCCCAGCTCCAGCTTTGGCCTCGGCCTGGCCCCAGCCATTGCAGGCACCTGGGGAGTGAACGAGCAGATGGGACATCTATCTGTGTCTGTTTCTCTCTCTGTCCCTCTCTGCTCTCAAATAATTGTTTAAAAATCTAAAAAGAGCCTGACCTCTTAGCCACCCACAACCGAAGGGGAAAGTTACCTGCTGACGTCTTTAAATGCCTATTTTCCCCTCAGTCTTAGAGATCCTAAACGTTTCCATTCTGCTAGCAGTGGGTAAGTGTATGCTGCTTTTCAAGGAGATTTTCAGCTACTCACTAACCAAGCATGTACTTCATGGACCTCCTGCCTGGGTCTCTCCCTCCAGTAACATTCTGTTAATGATTAACATATAAAATATAGGCCTAAAGTCACTGAAGCCTGAAGTTCAAATCTAAAAGAAACAAACACCACCGGCCTCAGCATTGGAGACACTCAAGTTCACGGACACGTCCAGGTGCCCCTTCCTCGCCCGTACATCATCTCGGTGCTGTGTGACGGCTCCCAATCTTTATGATCATCACCACTGGGCAGTGTGTGCGTGGCCTGGAACCTGGACTCTGTACCACCTGCCCATGGAGCAGCAGGCCCAAGAACTGCCAGAAGCAAGGTTTCCACAGGCCATGTGCCTTGCCCTTGGCTGGATGGGCGGGATGCCACATGTTTTAGGTTCTAGACTCATTTGAATACAAACAAGTGCTGTATGAGGGTTTATTTCATTTGTCAACTTGACTGGCCTACTGGGTCCCAGATACTTGGCCAAACACCATTACAGTTGTTTCTGTAAGGCGTTTTTGAATGGGATTAGCATTTTCATTGATAAAGTGAAGAAGGCTGCCCTCCCTAATGTGGGTGGGCCTCACCCAATCAGTCAAAGGCCCAAAAAGAACAAAATGACTGACCTGGAGCAGGCGTTGCGTGCAGCAGGTTAAGCTACTGCTTGGGGTGCCCTCGTTCTGTATCAAAATGTCTAGTTCAGGTCCCAGCTATTCCACACTTCTGATCCAATTTCCTGCTAATGCACTTATCTGAAAGGCAGAGTGACAGAGAGAGGAAGAGGGAGAAAGAGACCTTCCATCTGCTGGTTCACTCTCCAAATGGCCACAATGGCTGGGGCTGGGCCAAGCCAAAGCCAGGAGCCAGGAACTCCATCCTGGTCTCCCATGTGGGTGGCAGTGGCCCAAGCACTTGGGCCTTCTTCTACAGGCTTCCCAGGAGCATTAGCAAGAAGTTGGATTGGAGCAGCCAGGACTGGAACCAGCACTATCATATAGGATGCTGGCATTCCAAAAGACAGCTTAACCTGCTGTGCCAGACTGCCAGCCCCAATAAACAAGTCTTTAAAAAAACAAAACAAAGGCTGACCCTCCCCCAGGTAACAGGATTCCCTGCACAAGGCCCTGGGGCTCCATCCACAACACGCTGCCAACCTTTAAAATGGAACATGGGCTCTCCCTGGGCCAGACTGGACGTCCAGCCTCCTGTGGGTGCTGCCTCTCTGCAGAGTCCTGACTAACCCACGTGACAATCAGTAACATGACAATCAGTAAAACCTAAAAGTTCATCAGGTAGCCAGGTAAGCTCTCACGCAGTGCTGGCACAGAGGCCAGCAGTGTAGCTGTTAATAAATCACAAATTTCTACATAACCTCCTGGTGGGAAAGAAGGGGAGGAGCCAAAGAGGAGGCCACTCCAAGGGCTCAGGCCACTCCTGGGCTATGGGTCGGTGGGTCTTGAGGCGCTCATCTTTCTCCCCCACTTTCACGGGTGTCTCCTTACACTTGTGGGCTCCACTTTCTCATCTCCCAGCACCCCAGCCCCAGTGCTTTTCTGACATAACTCTGGGAGAATAACTATTCTACCGGTGACAACAAGGAAACTGAGGCAGAAAGAAATTTACAAAGTTTCCCAAGGCTGTGCCACAGTCAAGTTCAAGGAAAGAGATTCCAGCAGTGACCTGGTGCCGTAGCCCAAATCCTGACCCCTCAATGCAGGATTTCCAGATCCCTCTCTCAGGCCCAGGTGTCTCTGCAGCTGTGAAATCCACCACTAAATCCCAATCCAGAAACCCCATTCTTTATTCCAAGGTCTCTGTCAACCTACTGAGCCCACCTCAAATCCATCACCTTGGTCAGTCTTGACGCTGCCCTCAGCTCTGCCCAGTGGCCTGATCCTCTCTTCCAGCTCAAGATTTAGGCCTGGTGTATCTCTCACAGGCCCTGGGTGCCACACTCTTTCACCAGGCTCCTATTCTCTCCATCTCTACTCACCAAGCCCATCACCTAACTCATTCAGCTGGACAACACCCCCCCCACACACACACACATATATACACTTTCCTGTAAAAAGACAAACTCAGCTATGACTTCTTCCTGGAGGAAGCTGTCCCATCTCCCAGCCCTGGATGGCCCCACATCATCTTCCCTATACTGGTGGGATTGCAATTTACTGCCCTCCATCTCCTGCACCAGCAGGCGGGTGGTTCCTAGTGCAGGGTGGTCACCCTAGGATCCTGCCATGCCTGCTGCAGGAAGGGTGGCGGCTAGGCCAGCAGACATAGGGATCCTGAGCTTCATGGGGATACAATGCCTCCCCTCATCTCCCACAGGGGAAAAAAAGCTCCAGACCAGGCCAGCTTTGGGTTCTAGCCCAGCATGAGGCCAGAAGAGAGGGAGAAGGCCTGGACTCAACAGCTCCCCTTTCCTTCTCCAAGCCTGGATTCCTGGGGCCTTTGAGCTTGTCCTCCAGCCCTCCAGCCCTAGGGGAGGGTGGGGCCCAGAATCTGTTAGTGCTGTTTCCACCCCCTGGCTAAGTGTTTATGCTTACCTCCCCAGCCTCTAGTCTGCACTGAACTCCCTTTGGGACACAGAGGCTGACTTAGTCTCCCAGGCTTCTCCTTACAAAGGATTTCACTGACCTCCTACCGAGGCAAGGGCTGGGCTGCAGGTGCAATTGCCTCTGGGAAGAAGGCATTTTTCTGGAATAGCTTTTGTTAGCAATACACTGGGTATTAAGAAACACCTAGCCTTTCTCAAAATGTTATATAACAAAAAGGACAGCTGGCATCTCAAGCAGGGTCAGGAGCAGGGGTCCCAGAATACTTGGGAGACCACCCCCCACCTAAGAGCAGCTGCAACTTTGCGCCTCCCAGTTGTTATCTCACCCAGATTGTCTTTGCTACCATTTTAAATGTTGGTAGAAAAGTCTAAGAATCTTCCACGCAGGCTGGCCTTGCCTTATGGAGCTAAGCAGAGAATGACTAGGGGCGAGGGTTAGGTGATGCTGGGCAGACAACGCACTTTGGGAGCATGTG